ACTGTATCATGGAGAGAGCAGTTCACCCAAGAGAGTAAAATTAAGCACGTTTTTATTTTCTTCAACACTTCTTGGATTTAGAATTTTACCTTAGAGATGGAAATTTGGAAAAGTTAATTTCTCACAATGTTCTCAGGAAGGAACAATGTTTTTTTGTGTTTTCAGACATGGGAGGTGGTTACCTTACCACTCAATCTTACACTTCTCTGGTTATTAACGTTTATTGTGGGATTATTTTCCTCAGACAATGTGCCAGGGTATATAAGGAAAAGAACTCATTGTGCTTACTCTTGAGAAGTACACAGTAATTTGGAGGAAACTAGTAATTACAGTGTGATGTGATAATTTTGACAATACACGAATAATACTTGAGGAACACAAAAATGACTTTTGTGTAGGCTTCAGAAATAAGATGATATTTTAAGTGAATTCCAAATAATGAATAGGAATTTAATGAAAGAGAGTAAGAGGTCCATCTTGAATGTGAATTACGAGGGAAGGTATAAACCCCACTCTGTACTCTGACCTGCAGCGGGAGCTGCTTGGTCAGGGAGCATCCCATGGAGCCATAGCTAACTGCAGTGGCCTGTGCCAAAGTGAAGGGAGAGCTGATTATGTAGGAGAGGAGTCAGGGTCAGCAAACACAATAACCATTTCAGACAGGACACCTGATTCTGGGCAGAGATGGAGATGAGAGGGTTGATTGAATAGATCAGGAAACTGAACTGAACAAACTGGAAGATAGCTTGAGAAAAAAACATCTGAAATACGCACTGATTTAGATTTTAGGCATGATTAGATTTTATTTATTTATCATAGAAATCTGATCATGGGAGGGGTATGTGCATTTAAAGAACCAAAGGTGTGGGAGAAAACCAGATGAGGATGGTACGGTGTTTTTACTAACAGAGGCAGGAAGGGAACGTGGATGAGCGGGACAGATGAGGGAAAGGCAAGGTTTTGGTTTGAACCATACTGAGTGTAAGGCGCCTGTGGAATATGTATGGAGAAATACAGACATTGAAACATAAACGTTCTTTTTTTCATTTGTAAAATAGGGATGATAATGTTTGCTCTTTCTTTCCCATAGGTCTGTTGGAAGGCCTCATGCTGAAGAATAAAGATGAAATAGTCTTGAAAAGTAGAAAGCAGTGTATAGTGGAAAGAATTCTTTTGATTATGTTTGTTTATTGCCCATTTTCTGAGGAAGAAGAGCAGGAAAAGCTAATCACAAATTAATTAGGCATTTTAACTACTTTGTTAGGCGAAACTTTACCTGAGAGGCAAGAATGTCATTTGAACAGAAGACCTCATTACTCATATAAAGACATACTAAGCTTTTTTGTCAATGCATACTTCATATTCTAAGAGTAGTTTCTGATGGAGTTTAATAAAGATACAGGAGAGAGAATGAAAATACTTAATTTTATTTGGCTCACATTGGGGTAGAAGCTAAGTTTTCTCAAGTCCTTTGGGAAGAGAAATAAAACATCACTGACTGAAGCAGCCTTAAATCTCTACTAGCATGAGTTCATCTGTATAAATGTGGCAGCCGTTATTTTTATAATTAAAAAGTGTATTTTCTGCAGCTGTAGATTACATGTATGTGAATTACAGTAGTTTCTGAAACAAGGCAGGTATTAAAACTTCCTTCTGCTGTTCATGTGTCACCATAGTAGCTAAGTTCAGAAGAGGAATCTGCAGTTAAATCTGATGGAGCACACCACGTCTCAGTTCCCATCACACTCTAAATGGTGCTGCTAAAAACTGCATTAGAATTAGAAGAAAGTGTTCTTATGACTCAATCAGATGTAGGACAGGCCCCATAATTGACTTTGGGTTATGGAATCTGTCAAGAACACACCCTAAAGGCTAGATCACAGAAAATAATTGAATTTGGTCTAAATATTATAAAAGATCTTTACAGTTTTTATAGAACAACTCAATTGTGAGTTCTTCTGAAGAAAAAAATTATTGATTATACTAGGATGTTGATTTCTTTCCTCTCTGAAGCAAGCTGAAATTCTTGAGAATTGTAAGAGAGGTGACATTCAGTATTTATCTGAAAGATGTTTACTAATTTGGATTAAATAGATTGCATTGAAATGGCTGACTTTGGGTCATGGCTTTCTTTGAAAATGTGATGAAAACCTTAAGTCCCTTATGTGTAAGAACACATATGTACAACCATCATATACACACACACACACACACACACACACACACACACATACACACTGAATTTCAGCATGTCTTTTCATCCCCAGAAGTGTATCCTTGATCTCCGTGTAAAAAAAAAAGAAAAAAATATTCTGTAATAGTGAAATATTAAGAAATATCCAATCCATGGATTTCTAGGAACAGAAAGAAGTTAAACTTCCTACGTGGATCAGGTGGTGACATTCCATTCCTTGACTAAATTTACCAGGGCAGGCTGCATCTTACAGAGACCGCCCTTGACTGTTCCCTCTCAGCATTACCTCTACCCCTAGCAAACACCTACTGAGTCTTTATGGCACAGACTTTATTTCTTTCACATCAATCAGTACACTCAAAATTTATGTTTCATTAATATTTTTGTTACAACCTGTTCTCACTAGAATGTAAACATATGAAGATCTTACTTGTTGACAGCTATATCCCTAGCTTCTGGCAATTGTCTGGCACATTGTTTGCTTAAACAATTGAATAAATAGTGCAGTGTAATCTACTCAGAAAGCCCATAAACTGCACATTGGTAACATATATTCCTATGAAGTCAAGAATGGTATAGACAAAGAGTGGCTGGATATGAATTAAATAGTTCATCAGGATGATAAACTTCTCTAAGAAGCTTAAATGTAAAATGGCTAATGCTTATTTTAGTCAGCTTATTTCTTGCTCTATTTTTAAGACCTTTGTGATATAGTATTTATTTTCTTGAAATGTCTGCTGATATGCAATATTGAGTCTAAATTGTGGTAGTGAATGACATGCAACATTTCAGTTATTTTTTTAAAAACTAGGTACAAGCTCTTCTGAGCAGACTGTAACATTGGTAGGGATGCAGCTCTGTCTGAACTGCATGTGTGCGTGGTTTACCAGCACATTTCTTACAGCACTTGGATATTCCTGATAGCTCTTCCATAGTCACCATATTGCTTCATGCCTGTAATAAGGAATAATTTTTTAAGATGGTTGTAGTTATGAAAGTTATTGTACTTTTGGCAAGGCACAAATTTATATCCTTCTTTAAATTATTTTCAAATCATGTTTAAAATAATTTGTAGTTGTAAAACTAATTTGGCAGTCTGAGCTTTGAACATCATAAGTTTTCTGCCAACCAGCTTGACTTTTTGGAAACAGTGGAGACTAAACAGGATTCCTCTAATTCTTCTAAGCCTGTAGGAATAGTTCTACCAAAGGGATAAACTGTATAACATAGTTTTAAGGTGTAAGTCAATTAATCAGCTTGGTAAAGTAACTTTGGGGAGGATTTCCTTCTGATTGGTTCAACAGTAGAGCCATTTTCTCTTAAGAGATTGTCATCAGTTGAATTCATTATTTCACAGAAAAACAACTAAAAGACTTTGGTAAAGTTGGTTTTTCTTCCATAGCTAACTTTTTAATTGTATTTTTCTAATACAAGTCCAACAGTCCAAAGAACATATTTTTATTAAGCTCCAGATCTTCTCTGAAGAGTCACTGATTATGACAAATTATTAGCTTAGAGATTTATTTTGAGTTTACTAAATTTTAGAACCAGAAGCCATTCCATGATCTTGATTTAAGTATGAATATAGTCTACTGAGCTGAATGATATTTAGTGCTTCTGAACCTTTCCAGAAATGACTGTTTCTAGCTATGGAAAGCCAGAGATTTAGGTTTTATATCATCTTATAGATTCTAAAGTTAAATTAATGCTTCCTGTCTATACTGCTGGGTAGATGTCTTTATAGTAGCTTTTCTTATGGTCCACTTATCATGTGATGATGGAGAAGGCAAAGTACACTTTGTCTGTAAATGCCCATTCATTTATAATATCATAGTAACTTTAATTGTACATTTAGTAAAGGTTATAATCCACATCTACCCCATCAAGTCAACAAGATATCATTTTTTTTCAGTTTTCAAAAATATCCAATATGTTTCTAGAATGTTTGGCTTTTAGAAACTGCAGTCTCTATATATTTCATATTTTGTCCTTCTTAAAGGGATATTTTAATTTTTTGATCAGTTGCATGCAAATTTAGCATTTGCCGAAACTATTTGGTAATCCTAAGGACACCAGATAGGGTTTGTCTTTTGTTTTTTTGTTTTTGAAAATCTATTCTTTAGAATAAAGCTAAATGATTATTTTATATATATATATATATGTAAAACTTACCTTAGTAGGAAAATACCTGGTTTTATTTTTTAGGTTAACATGAATACAGTTTTATGTAGTTATGTTTTTAAGATAGTTCTGTTTGAAAAATTTATACTTTTAAGATTGGTAGTGATATTCATATATATAAAGACCATTTCCTTACTAGGAATAAGTATCAATTTTTGAAGATAAGGTTTCATCAGAGATAATACTATGGATAATAAATATGGAATGACTCTATGAGTCAGGGATTCTGAATTTATGGTAAATCTCACCTAATCACTTGCCATGTCACTTCTAGGCATCTGTCATTATTTTCTATTTTATCTCTACATATTGATAATATACTGAAACACTATCATTTTCTGAACTTATATATATGTGTAGGTTAAAGTAAGAAAAATTGTGATTCAAGTACCATAAATACAAATGTCACACAGATAGAATCAGATCATGATCATATTATTATTTGAATGACATGGAAGTTTGTTAATGATCTGGTTAATTTATAAAGCACCAGTTACACAGTTCACTTAGCATTAAGACTTTCTGAGCTTGGATTTTTTTACTGATTGGATTATGTGGATGATTTTAAAATATTCATTATGTCACTCATAAAATTTATTAGTCTGAGATTAAAAAAAGCAAACAGTGATTAAAGCAAGTTCTTATGTCAGGCACAAAACTGATAATTTATTAAGAAAAATGATTTTAAAATGTAAATGTGTAATGCAAATCACATTTTTAAACTCATGTTATCCCCACTTACATAACAATAAAATCTGTGCCTGCTCTAGCAGCACAATACACTGTAAGTTGGATGTGGTGATGAAACCTTACATAGAAAACAAAGTGCTTTACAAGCCTTAGATCTCACAAAAAACGCTGTTATCACCCAGGTTTTGAATGTGTATGATATCAAATTACAACATTAAAATAAAAAGTAATGAAGACTCATGTGTCTATCAGAGGCCATCTACTTAAAAATTCATTCATTTCTGAAACTTTCTTCATACAAACTCTTGATATACAAAATATTAGCTGATTATTTTTGTGATGCAGGTACAATGACAAGTGAATCCCCTAAATTTTCTAACTCTTAAAAGCAGAGGAGAACTAATATAAACATTTTAAAAGAGAACACAACATTGCAAAAGGACCCAGAGTGGTCATTAAATCATGCGTTTTGTAGGAAAAAGGAAATCTTTGTTAAACTTTAACAATCTCAAGATTGGGTTATTTAAGTCTACAATTTTGACAGTGAGATATTTGAGAATTATGTCTTACTTGTGACATATGAAATGAATTACTCTTAAGTATTAAGATTTCTTTACACACAATGCTCTGAATTATTATATCCTTACTTTACAAAGGAAATTACAATATTGTGCATATGTGAAACTAAACATTTACAATTTAAGTTATATATTAATTATTGTAGGATACACTTTTTAAATTGTAAAACCAATTCATACTATTTCTGTAAAACTACTTTAGGTAATATTTTTAATATATGGAAAGTACATCCAAACTCAATGATTTATTTGATACATATTGATTATATGTTTTTGGAGTTATTAATGAAATATCATTAAAGCTTTCTTTTTGGTTACATTATTTCTGCACACACATTAATCAAGGTAACAAGGGGTTGCCTTTCCATCTTGTTTTCTGAATTGGTTATTTGCACATTGAAACCACACAGACAACTCCCAAGTATTCCTATCATTTTCTTTCACACAAATCTTGCCAGTAACTCTCCAGTGCTCATAATGTGAATCTAGATGACATTAATTTTTGTTTTAAGAGTTTTTATATGTGCTTCATATCCATTTAGAATCCTGACAGAAGGACTTACATTATTGCATGTTTTGTGTAAAATACAAGTTAAAACTCTAACATATGTAATCATGAAAAACAAAATTTGGTTGTATTATAAATGGGAGTCAACTCAAATCCAGTTTTTGTGACTCAACTGCATCTTAGCAACAATATAGTTGCTTTCAGTGGGGTGAACAGAGTAACTCATATGAATTGTATAAATTTTAGTATTTAGTGTCAGTGTGGTCCAGTAAACTTGGGGTAAAATAAAGACTCTATGTAAGGGATCTGTTTTGATTTTCTTTCTAGCTTATAATGCTTGTGTAAAGGGGTGAGCTGAGAAGATACTTCCTTCTTGACCACAGTTGAAAACTGACCCATAGTAAGCACTAAGATTAAACTTCAGTGTATTTTATAAAAAATACTACTTACTTTCACAGAAGTGAAGAGATAAAATTGCACAATGGTGGTTACAATGGTAGAAATACATATTGCCAATAAAATGTTAGCAAGAGATTTAAAAATGACTGTACAGCACCGCGCATCAGAGAATTGTATAACAGCAACACAATTGATATTATTTCTTCATATAAATAAAATACTTAAATATTTTTTAGAAATAAATGGGGGAAGTGTTTTTTTCTCCCTAATTCCTACCAAAATATTTACTGATGTGAAGCAAAAGACATTAAAAAATGGCAGTTAAAAAAAAAAGACATTCATGCATTTAAGCCATCATTAGTCTCTGACTCTAATATAAGGCAGATCATTAATCTTTTGCAAAACTATGACTTTAGCCACTACGCTCTTTTTAGTGCTCTTCATAACAGGGATGTGATAGACTTTGTAAATTTAGGAGTTAAGATGTGTTTCCAACAGGTTAGTTTAGATAGGCTCAGCTGTTGTTTGAAGCATCAACTTTATAATAAAAAAATGCTTTGGAGAAATGATGAAAAGTTATAATAAAGAAAAAATAGAAGAGGTTTTATAGAGTTTATCACAGATGATACTGTTTAGATCAATGAAAACAAATTACATTTGCTTATGTGTCATCCTCAGTCTTAATGATGTGGAAAAGGGTAACATTGAAAAGGACCTGGTGCCCATTGTTCCAGGCATAAAGAGCTCTATCTCTTGCATTGTAGTCAAGCATAGATATGTGAAAGTACTGGTTATGAAAGGGAATGTCCGTGTACTCATAAGTGGAGGTTTTGGTGGAATAGGAATAATACACCTTGGCTCCAGTTAAGTGGGAATTGGTGACATACAGTGTCCCACAGATCATAAAAGATTCCCCTGCACTTCTCTTGGGATAGCCAGTGCTCCAGCTTTTCATCACTTCCAAGGAATCTTGGTTAAGTTGGCTGATGACAATATTGCCTGCATTCTGGTTAGTTGCATACACAGCCCACAGCCCAATTTCATCAGCCATTAGGTCGATGTCAGAGAATCCACCCCACGTGTAAGGGTAGACATTGTGAAAACCAGCATACTCCAGGCTTCGTTGGGCAAGCACTCTCCCCATATCAAAGCTATATTTGATGATGATGTTACTCTGATATTTATTAAAATAGAGTGAGCCATTGTAGACAACATGGTTAGTTCCTGCCCATTTGAAAGGAAGGTTATATGTCCTTGATTCAGCCCCACTGACAAAGTCTGCAATTGATTTGTACTCACGGACAATTTTATTGTTAGTATAACTGTCCATGTACCAGACCTAAGAAGAAGGAAAAATAAAAGTTACTAATTTCTGTATTTTTCTGAGAATTCAAAAATAAAGAAGACAGTGAAGAGTCAGCACATACTAATATCACCATTCTCAGGGCTCTCAAAGCCACATTATCTACCTGCTGTCCTGTTACAATGTGATAGCACTACAGGCTTTTACAAAAATAGTGGCATGGTCTATGTGGAAAGGAAACAGCTGTATTTACTGCCGTTACATTAATTTGCTTTTTGTTCTTTTTAAAATTAAAAAAATAGTTTGACCATTCAGTGTATATCACTGCATGAACCAAACATCTATCAGTGCAAGTCACATCACATTGTTCAGTTACCTGATAGATCAGTGTAATCAGTGATAGCTGCACAAAATAGCAAATTTACTTATTCCGTTCCTTTCTTTGAAAAAATACATGGTTTAATTTTACACATTCAATTATTTCTCCTTTATGGATATCACAGAATCTTCTAGTAACACTTATTCCTTGGATAGGCTTATAGGTATAACTGTCTTTCAGTGAAACCAGTTTACTGATTTAGCTACTGGTCTCATTTGGATGTAACCCTGGAGAATCTTAATGTATACTGAGTTCTGTAATAGAATATGGAGTAATGGTAAGTTTCCAGTATATCGATTTACATAATACAGGCATTGCCAACTTACAAAAATACCCCCTATGCCCCCACCTCCGCCAAAGTTTCAGTGCCATTTCCTTTACAGTTACCTATGGACCCCAAGGATCTTTTAGCTTGTTTAGTGAACTGGTTAGCTCTTAACTTTCTCACTTTTTTTTTTTCACACTAAGGACCAAGTTTTAGAAGTATAGAGAGAATTTTGTATACTTGTAATTAGTCCTTTTCAAGCATAAAACAAGACTAAAAACAATAAAATTATACTTACTGTACTGGTAAATTATAGGATGGAACATTGTACTAGAAGTAAGTTTGCCATATATCTGTAGATATGTTAATACTATCAAACGGAAAATATTTGCAAACAGTGTAATACTTTTCAAGTTGAAACTAAATATCCCTGAAGGAAATGAATAGTCCAATACACATAAAGTATGAATAAAACATAATTCTAAGCAAAGGCATTTGTGGAAGCAACATACTCTGTTATTTTTTTCAGATGCTAAAGGATCTGTCATCCAAGCACCAAATCGGGTTCCAGATGTCTTGACTGTTATTGGGCCTGTGATTTTCATCAATTTGCCACAAGCTGAAATTAGATAAACAGAAACATGTTGGGTGACATGGCCAGTGATTCCAACACACATACTCATACCAAGAGCAAAGAAAGGTATCCTAACATGAAGCCTTTCTGTGGGAGTAATATCACATATTCTGAATGAATATTCATTTGTGTTGGGTGCTATGCATTTAGCTATAATTTGAGCCATAAGTAGTTGTCTTTTCAATGCTCTAAACCTAAAGTGTGGAATTTTAAAATGGGAAATGATTTGTACAATCTGGAAAGAAACAAATGAGGAAAGTCATTATCATTATACCAATTCAGCAGCTGCTTTTTCTAAGAAGTCAGAAAAATTTAACGGGCTGTTCAGGGACCTATTTACCTGATTACCAACTCATTTCTCTCCCCTGCTCCTATGCTCAGAGACTTTGAACAACTTACAGGCCAGAGAGGACTCTTGAAGCTGATTTTCAGTTTGTATTGGTAAATGAGAAGCTCTTGTGAAAAATATCTTTATAGAATATAAAAATAAAAAATCACAGTCTACCTGAAAGAGGTAGTTTCCAACAGTAAATGTCTTGTGCAGGTAGCAGGGCCTGAGAGAGCAGCCATGAAGGTTCAAGGCAAAAAATGCCCAAAAAACTCAAGCCCTCAGACTCTCTGGTCACAGGCAGTGTAAAACATGATGAAAAATTAGTGACTTTCTTGAAAAATACTAATGTCTTTATCACCCTAGCTGTGGATAAGATTTTAGGAAAAGTTTAGACTTCATAAACACCAAAACCTAAACCAAACAGAAATCCAGGTATTTTGTGAAATTTTTAATCAGCAAAATTCAAGTGATTTGTTATATATACTGTAAAAGGCAACAAGTACCTCTAAATGTTGACCATTAGTCTAAACAAAGGAATATTCTTTCTGTTCCGTTTATACCCTTTTTTCCTCTCTGTTCTATTTTTTTTTAAAGCAATTTTGTCTCATTCCATTCTCCTCTGCCTGTTCTTAAAATTGGCAAGAATTTAGTTAGTTTCTGTTGGTTCCTGTGTATTTGGAAGCAAAAGAACAGTTCCCCAAAGTATATCAAGGACATAACTAACTCTAGCTTGGAGCCTATTTTGGCTTATTTTTCTCTGTATGTGTTTCTCATAAGAATAATTCGTAACTGGTGGAATCCTAAGCTGTGTAGTTAGGAAGATGCTGAATGATAACATTTTGTACAATTACTTAAGTAATAACTACAAATTTATAGCAATCTCTAGAATCTCATGAAACCTGGATAGAGTAAATATTTTTTCTCCTTTTGTGAAAAAAAATGGATGTGATGGCATCTTTATGTACCTTATGTAAATTAATTAGTTTTTAATTTCCTCAAGCCTGATAAACTGGGCAAGTAATTCAGATTTTATGGCATTATCCATACAGGTTAAACCTATGTAGAATATATCACCTAAACTTATGCACAACATTTGAGTAAAGTAGCATCAATTTGAGCTAGAAAATAACACATATATTCTGAATTAATCTAGTTGAGTGTATTCTCTGAATGCACAATAAGTGAGAACAATGTGACCTCTGATGATGTTCTATGTAAAAATTTCTAAATTCACAGATGGTAATCATGTGAAAATTTCAAGTGTATTAAGTAGGAACACAATTCCATCCCCTGAAAAAACCCAGAAAACAAACATTTATTTTTTCCATAATAATAATAAATAAATAATAAATTCTTTTGTTAAACAAGATATAAATGGCAAAGTTAGCAAGGTAAAATCTGAAAAGTAACTCAGGCTTAAAGTGATGGCCTAATACATACTTCTCTCTACTTTCTTTCCCAAGATCTCATTAAAATAATAGCAAAGGAGTAAAGCATGGGTGAAAACAAAGCAAAGACAATGATGTGTGAGTCATTAGTGGAAAAGAAACTTTAATCAATTTCTAGAAGGCAGAATTGATGGAGATTGATAATTAAAGGTGTAGGATGAAATAAGAAGCGTCAGTGCCTAGTGGATAAGCAGAGGAGGAAGAGCTGAAGTGGGAGCTGCTCTGCCTTGAAGAGAAGGGGGATAGAAACAGGTGTCAGGGTGTTGGGAGTGAGACAGCTTATGAAAATAGGGACATTACTGAAAGCATGCCTGAGGAGCAGGTGATTCTGTCTTTATCCCTGGATGCAGGATCCCAGAAGGAGGTTAAAAAAAAATTTAAAACTGTTTGTTACCTGAGAGGACTTAGGGAAACTAATGAGGCACTGGAAGCTCCAGAGCAGAGCAGTCTACTGCCTTCTGACATTGGGAGTCTCCTTCCCTTTTTCAGTATGGAATAAAATGTCAAGCCCTGCCTAAATACTTAGTTTCTAAGATTATTTGAATCTTTATAAACAATAAATGGATAACAAAAGACTAGCTTTTGTTTTCAAAAAGCTTAGAATAAATATGACCAGAGTAAATGTGCAGAAATCTAGAACCCCCATAAGAAGAAAGATAATTCAGAGCAGAAGAAACCCCAGGTATCTTTAGAGAGATCTGTATATTATGGAAAGGAAAATATAAAAGAGCACTTAGAAATTAAATATATGATTACATTTTAAAAAGTCAATAGGTTGGAAGTTAAAAAAGTTATCCTAAAAATTAAAAAGATGAAAATGAAAATAAGAGAAAAAATATAGATGCATATAGGATGAATCCATAAGCATCTGTGTCTGAAAAGCAAGTTTCTAGAATGAGAGGAGAGAGAATAGAGAAAATTATAAAAAAAATTATACCAGGAATTTCTTCAGTTACAAAACTTAAATATTCAGATTAAAAAGATACTTTATAATGAATGAAAAACAATGCACTCTTAAAAAATTACTGTGAAATTTTACAAGAATAGAGAGAGGGATTTGGAACTTTTCAGAGAAAGAGCAGGTCACATTCATGTTGATAAGATTTAGGCTGGCTTTGGGCTTATCAATACTAGATGCTGGAAGACAACCAGAGCCTTTAGATTAGAAAGAAAAATCAGAGGAAGGTAGAATGAGGATACTTTGTGACATGCGAACTTTCCAAAGTTTACCTATAATACATTCTTTCTTAAGAACTTACTAGAGGATTGTAGATAAATAAGTAAACCAAGACAGGGGAAGACATGAGGTCAAGAAAGCAGTGACTTCTTGTCCCAGAATAACAGCTGTGCAGTGGGTCTTGAAAGCAACTAGTCTAGTTGGACAGCGGTGTCCAGAAGGGAGGTCTCAGAAATCAGAGGAATTGATCATTAAAATCCTGTTTGAGACTCTCTAGGAAAAACTGGGTATGGTGAAGGCAATTATTGGAGTATATAAAAGGAGAATTCATTTTAACTTAAATCTGCTAATCTGCTTTGAGTGGCACAGATGTGATATTGAACTTAAGAGAGGAAGGGAATGCATTGGAGTCTACCACTTACCTCCTAAGAACAATATCAACATTGTCAAATGATGTAAACTCTCATGTTTAAGTTGAATCAGCCCATAAACTAATTACAGAATATTTAACAGACATCCCATTAGCTCTGTGATTATAGAAAAGACTAAATGTTTCCAACCATGATAACATAGAAGAATAGGTGAAGCTCACACTGTAAGAGAATTACGAATTGGGAAAAGAGATGAAAGAAAGATGGGCGTGTAACTGACTTGATACTTAAAAATATGGTGTTAAAAGAATTTTCCTATGATGAAAATAATATTTATTTTATTTATTTAAATAATAAATATTTAAATATGAGGCTTGAAGATAGAAAGTTGATGGGGTAGAAGTGCAAATAGTCATAAAGTTATATTATGAGGAGACAAGAATGTGGAAACTAAATCCTCATTTTGCAGACTAGAAAGTCAGTAAACAATGTCCAAATTTAACAAAAAATGAAAATCAGCATATTATTAGAGAGATGGATTTAATCACCTGAAGTCCTAAAATTAAACTTAAATGTGGTTGCCTCTGGAGATGTTTCTGGAGGAGGAGACTGTTTATTTTTATTCTCAGTCTTTTTTATTCTAAGCATATAATTTTCCAGCCTTGTGCATACAACATTTAAATTATAATTTTAAAAGTTAAAATAGCTGCAGAAATTTAATATTGGCCATTAAGTTTAAAAAGCGAAAATCACATTTATATACTGCCTATTGAAAAATCACTTCCAGGTTTCTATAAGCCATACTTCCTTGCAGTGCTAAGAAGTAGGTGGAAATTGAAGATGTAAATAGTCTCCAGAAATGGAAGCTGTGAATATTCTGCATTTTAATTTGGTTTCAGTCCTATAAGGACTAGTTGAAATTGTGTTCTTTGAACTTCCAGCTATGTTTTACAATTGGCATGGCGATGTCTCTGTCTTTAATTCCTTCAACTTAAAAATATTTAGAATCTTTAGTAAGTTGTAACATTTATAGTTACTTCATAGGGATATAATAGGCAATTACATTGGTACATGTGTAGGAGCTGTACTAAAAGATATTATGCATGAGATTCAAATATAAATGCTGTGCATTTTATATCAAAACAGTGATTATGACCTTGGAAAATTGTGCTCCTGTTGAACACCCACTTTGCATAAGAGGAAAAATTAGTCTAAAATTTCAGAAAAATATCTTTTAAAGATGAACAAACTATCATGAATATTTGAAAAAATACATGGACTCAAAGAAGTCAGTTGAAACTTGTTCTGAATATAAATCAATATAATGTACCAAATATGAAACATAAACATAATGGAATATTCTCCCACAAAACTTTATACCTAGAAGAAATGACCAAATAGAAACACAATCATAAGAAATTATAGTGACTTCAAGTTGTTTCAATAGTGAAAGCAAATAGAGATTTTATAGTTATGGAGTTTGACTTAACATTTTAGATGGCTGAACTATACAATTAAATCTTAAAGTGAGGTTTTAGCCTGCCTTAATAAAGCATGGGTGAAAACAAAGCAAAGACAATGATGTGTGAGTCATTAGTGGAAAAGAAACTTTAATCAATTTCTAGAAGGCAGAATTGATGGAGATTGATAATTAAAGG